TTTCTTTTATATTTAAACTTATACCTTGGGCATTGGCTGGTAAAGTATGAATAAGTGCATTGGCATTTTTATGCTGATTTTTCAGATAAATATCTTTGATACTAAAAAAATAAGATCAATTGATAAAATATTAAAATTTAAAAAAAAAATACCAAGACTTGTGCACTGTCACACATTTTTATTGTAGAATTCTCTCCATTTCTATAATTCTCTGGGACATTATAAAGCTGTCCTTGAACCCCACATCCACCTCAATTGCATCATGTATCTCAAGTTAGCTTTAATAATGCTCATTAAATGCCTATAATCCCAGCCACTAAGGAGGCAGAAACAGAAGAATTGTAAGTTTGAGGCCAGCCTTAGCAATTTAGCAAGAACCTATCTCAGAATATAATAATCAAAAAGGTCTGGGGATGTAGTTTATTGGCAAAACATCCCATGATTCAATCTCTAAGCCCTAGAGAAGAAAAAAAAATCAATTAAACATATTTAAAACTTATAAGGAAGGTTTAAAAGAAAAATTTTACTGACAATTACTAAACTACAACATAAAACATATATTTTATATATTCAAGAAAAACTGTTTTACAAGCTGTCTCTAACCTACAGAAGGAGGCTAGATGGTCACACACAACTGTTAATTATATCCTGTAATTTTGCAAAATTTATGCTTGCAATATTCTGCCTCTTGTATAAAAATTCTACCTCCATATCCTAAAGAAAAGGATTTTGATAAAGTTTTTATTGTCCATTATTTCAAATAACATTTTAAATATTCAAGTAGGTTTTTAACAGTGCGAGAGTCTGACTTAAGGGCCATGTGTTATAGACTGGGTCTCCAACGTGGCACATTGCTAGGTAGTAGAACCTCTAAGATGTCAGCTGTAAGGAGACATCTCCAAATCAATGGGAGAATGCTCTTGAAAGGGACATTGGAACTTATCCCCTCCTCCACGTTTCATTCCTAGTCATGATGTAAACAGTTTTGCTCTGCCTCATGCTCCCTTCATGATGTGGGACCTCATTACAAGCCACAAAAATGGGAGAGCCAACTGGTCATAGACTGTAACCTCCAAAACTGCCCTCCAAAGTAGACCTTCTCTCTTTAGAAGTTCTTACAGACATGGAAAACTGACAAACATAATCTAACACTAAGCTAGGTATAATAGGGAGAATAAGAGTCATTTGTCGCATGTCCAACCTGGACAAATGTTCCCAAAAGAGCTTGTACTCAGCAAAAGTTTAGAAAGAGCTATCAACTATACAACAATGTAATGTGTCACAAAGTGACTCAAGATTGTATAAAGTGCTATAAGATTACAAAAGAGGAAATGAAGGAACATTCAGAGTAAAGAGATAAATACACAGCTACATTTTCTCTTCATTAAATACCCTCTAATTGTATACAACACTTGGAAACAAACATATGCTGGGCTGTAACAAAATTAGCCACTTCAACTTTATTGCAATTTTCACAAGTCTGATATTTTTCCACATTATCACTTAGGAGATTTAACGAGTAAAAAATGATCAACTGCAGTCTGCTGTGAAGTCACCAGCAAATTCATTTATTTCCTATGATTCATGAGAGCTCCTAAAATAACAGTGCACTACTCAGTAAATTACTTAAAACCCATCAACACTAAAATGCTATTAGTCTGCTAGATCTTGATTTGAAAGACAAAATGAAAATATTATTTTATTCCAGCCTTTTCCATTTAATATTATTCTCTTCGTTTCAATCTAAATAAAGTTTCTTTGTCATTTTCTATGATGATAAAACTAGGCTTTCAGAATCATTATAATAAAGTCCCAGACTACACTGAGTTTTATTTTTTTCTTTGTAGGGTGGTTTAAGACATTGGCAGGGGGTGCACAGGGAGGCTAGTCAGCTTCTTTGCTTCTTTTTTAGTTCTCGGGGGAGATGAGCAGTTCTCCTGAGCATTCAGTCATGTCCAAAATGTCTGTCAAATGTAATAAGGACTAATGGGCAAAATGGCAGGAGAACAGTATTGCTTCAGACTTCCCCCCAACAGTATCCTACTGGGACAAACCTATGGACATCTCTGTACATCAGTTTCAGCATTTGTATGTGGGAATTAAAGTACCATCTCTCTGTATCTCATTAGCTTGTTTTGCATATAATGTGCTAATGGAAAAGTGCTGTGCAAAAAGTATGCAGAAAACAACAACAAGGAGAACATGTAAGATGCAATTATTGCTTCCCAGAAACATCTTCTTGCTTTATTCAGGATTTCAGAAAAAAATATGCCATATTTATGTAAATATGAAAAGAAACCTTAGCGTAACATGACTGGAAATTTCTTTCTAAGGTTGTGCTAGGAAATTAGCATTGTGATTACCATTAGGAATTTATAGAAGTCTAAGAATTTTTGCAGTTAAAGATAAAAAAGACACAAGTAAGATAAATCCCAGAATTGAGTAAATGCTCCCAAGAAGTCCCTATTCAGGGCACATGAAGACAAAGCTTAAAAGCGGAAGGAATACATCTCTACTCCAAAATTTAAAGGAAGAACTTAGTTTCATTATGTATCTAAGAAAAAAGGTAAGGGGGAAATAGTCTTTTCAACCTTTACAAATGGATAACGATCATTTTCATTTACCTTTCATGCCTTATAAATTGAGACACTGAATCATCTGTTCTCTGGGTTCCCTTTCCCTTCCTCAGGACCCTTCTTTGGAGCCCTTGATATCTCTGGTAAAGTGTTATTTAATTGTTCTATTTTTGTAAAACCTTGTATACCTAAAAGATCTATATGTTTGCTGAATCAAATTAATCTTAATTCAACCACTATGGACTGAAAAATTTGAGATTCAGTAATTCTTTTCCTCATTGTAGATTTTAGTGACAGAGAAGCCAATCTAAAACAAAACACAGCTGAAACTAGGTCAGATATCACAGGTGCAAATTTGAACAAGGACCAATTACCATCAGAGAAGATCAAGAACTTATGTTGCAAGAAAGATGGTACAAAATCAATGTATCCAGTTTGAATTGGATACTTGATGTGGATACCAAGACAGTATCTTATTCTCTTAATGAAAATTCAGATTTGGAAGCTTTGGTTAAATCCTGGCATTGTAACTTCCAGATGTGTATAATCTATGACACATTTCTCAACATCATTTATTTCTATTCTATAGAAATTTTTAGAGATTAAATAAATAAAAGAACATAAGTAATATATATGATAAGCATATGATGTCTGTTTCATACTGAAACATTTAGGACTGTGTGAGCTAGTCAGCTTCCTCCCACTGTGACAAAATACCTGAGATAATTGTCAGGAGAAAGGTTTATTTTGGTTCACAGTTTTAGAGGTTTCAGTTCATTGTCAGTTGGCCAATTGCTTTTAGACCTGCAGTGAGACAATACATCATGTAGAATACAAAGCTGCTCATTCACCAAAAAAAAAAAAAAAAAATCTGATTGGGCGTCCTATATGCAAAGTTTTCATTCAATCACTAAGTGCAACCTAGGATGCAATCTCTAGAAGTTTAGGTGTTCTGATCATGGGCTACATTTGAGTACCACTGATACAGTGTCTGTGTAAAGATATAGTAAGAGACATAAACAAAAATTTGTGATGCATGGTAAGAAAAACAGAGGACTTGGCTAAGGGGTGTGGATTTCACTTACTAAAACATGGTTCATCCTACACAGTCTTTAAAATAGGGAATGCAATACTAACTACTCTGATTTACTAAGATAAATTTGGAAATAAATAAAAATATATGAGGGCAAGAGTAAGCTTGACAGAAACTACAGAAGATTCTACTGGTAGGCTGGTTTGACTAGTCTGGAAGAAAATTATGAATGGTTGGGTTTAGGGAGCAGATACTGAGCTTCAAGCAAGAGAGAAGCCAAGATACACAACTTGCAGCTACATAAAACAAGCAAAACACACAGTGGCGGAAAGAGGGTCAAGAAGGAAGAGCATGTAAGTAAGTTGAATGTATTTTAAAATAAATACAAAGTTCACATGTTAAATAGCCTCAAAAAATTACAGTGATCTGAAGTAATTCTTGCAATCTGAATCAAAACAGAACACAAATTGAGTTTTCAGCTCCTTATTAGAAAGGGTGTTGCTGATGTGCTACTTCTTGTTTATGACTTCCAACTATATCACACTTTCCCTCCTTGACGCTAAGACTCCTAGTCACTCATTTTCATTCCTTGAGGACGTAGAGGCTGGGTGGAGACATAAAGGATTCATTAGACATTGTTTCCTGAAAGCTTTTTTACTTCTTTGACTTTAATGGCCTGTACTTTGACAACACTTCAGCCTCCTACAGTTCCACATTTAAAATAAAAAAGCCAATTATAGCCACACTCATCTGTCCCTTTACAGATTCATCATAAACAACATTCTCCACAAGACTGCTTTTCCTCACCATCTGATTCTGATGTCTGCTTTCTTCATAACTCTTCGTTTTTCTTCTTTTTTAATATTTATTTTTTAGTTTTTTAGGTGGACACAATATCTTTATTTTATTTTTATGTGGTGCTGAGAATCGAACCCAGTGCCCCAAACATGCTAGGCGAGCGCGCTACCACTTGAGCCACATCCCCAGCTCTCTTCTTTTTTTTTTCCTTTGACACATACTCTATGGCTTCAAGAAATCTTTCCTGCATTTCAATGCCTTTATTAATATATCTTGCTGATTTTCCCAAGACACCCTGGATTGTGAGTCACAAGTCCTGTTCTATACCCAAGCCTCAGTGCACCAACTGCAAAATCCAAGAGCTAAGACTAAGGTCAATAGATATCACTACAAATTTATGACCTCCACTTTAACTGGGTCATTAATATTCCTAAGAACAATGTTGTTGGTAGGTTTCTTTTGTCATCTTCCAAAGTAGCAAAACATTCTGTCCCAGAAAAGAAATGTACCTTTCTAATTCACAGTGAAAATGAGACTTACTGGAGTAACCATAACTTTAAATCTCACACACACACAAAAAATATTGAGTGCTGTTTGATTAAGTACAGTTATTTATTTTCTCAGAAGCATCAAAAGGAAATAATTCCCTGTATTTATGGGTGATGCATCAAGCAGAGCTGTCAATCCTCTCCTATCTTCCCAGAGACTTTGACCTTCACCGACTACCCAATCCCATGTGATTCCCACATTGCAATGTCTCCTGGCTCCCTCTGCATCAAGTGTAAACAGGTTCTAAACTCTTCTATCTCTAGAAAATCATTTTCTGTGAACCCAAAAATATTTTATGAGTTGAATAATTATATAAATAAGAATGTATACTAATAATTTCTATAGAAATATAGTTTTGAACAAACTTATAGAGTGTATAGAATTATCAAGCAAAAAGAAAAACTAATCTAGGCAGGTCATCCCTGATGCCAAGTTATACCATGGAAAGCCTGGTGGTAGTAGATTTTTATTATTGAATGTGAGAGAGCAAACTATCATATGCAAACCACTTTTCTTTCACATCATCATTGCTGACTACATAACTCTTTATTATATAAATCTGATTTGCCCAAGCTTTTCAGTTTGTAACATGTTTACTTTCTATGTCTTTGTTTTCTTGTGCTAGTGCCTTAGACTTTCATCCATGACACTCCATCAAAATGGCTTATGTCCTATTGACATTTCAGGCTTTATTTTAATTGATATATCTATGTCATTCGGCATTTGTTTGAGTTGGGGCTAGTAGCATGTGCCTGTAATTACAGCTACTCAGGAGGCTGAGGCAGAAGGATCACCTGAGTCCACAAGTTTTGAGACCAGTCTAGACAACATAGTGAGACTCCTATCTCAAAAAATGTAATTACTAAAAATTGTTTGATCTTCTATTTGAGCTCCTTCTTTCACTAATTTATTCACTCAAGATGAGTTTATTTAAATTCTAAGGATTATTTTATATTATTATGTCCTATACTTTTCCATAAAATAATTAGAAGTTCTTGTGTTTGAGCCAGGAAGAGACATTAACCAAGCAAACAAAGCTAACAGAAATAAAACCATGATTTCCATAAAGACAGACTGCAATAACTTCACACTTACTATAAACAGATACAAATGTGGACAAAATACAGTAAAATAACTTTTCATCTTTTGGATAGTCATCAGTGCAGAACTGTAGGTTCTGAAAGAGGAAATCCGTGAGGTGAGCTCGATGAGAACCACAGCATATGGCCTGGAGTGACTTCCAGAAGGCAGACCCAGAAGGTGGACTCAGATGATGGTGGTTCTCACTGATTGAGGGGAAAGCAATTGGAGTTAGTAATAGCAGACCCACAAATGACTTTACTTTTGCCAAGCACTTGTTTTTAAAGGAATATAACAAATACAATAATCAGAGAAGGGTTAGAAAACTGCATAAATGCATCATAATTTGATGAACAGAGCAGATGAATAAATAGGGGTAGAGAAGATGCTAGAGAGGAAAAAAAAAACATACACACACACTATGCAAAAGAGCTGGGGTCTGAGAAAGGCAGGTGTATACACCTGTGTTCCTGAAAAGAGGAACTGTGATTAAGATGAAGAGAATGACAAAGAACCTAGTTCCTGAGGAATGTGAACAGATCCAGGGAATTTGGAGGACAAACAGCTGTGAGGAATTCTGGCCTAATTTAAGGAAAAAAATAAGAAGTTTGAGGATTGTAATAGGTTCAGAGAGAGTGATAACTAGAACAGGGATTAGAAGGGCCAAGAGGAATAAAAATGCATGTCTTCCTCTAGCTACAATGAAATATTTCACTGATCATTCCTTCTCGGTATCTTTTGTCAGACCCTCTCCTTCCCCTTCTAAATGCTGGCATTTCAGAGTATTCTTCTTTTTACCCTCACCACCCCTCACTTGATGTCTGTACCAAAGTGATCTCACAAAGCATCTGAAAGCCCATGACTCTCTAACATAAAGGCTGATCACCCTGTCTTCCACATGCACATACTCAAATAACCAGTGCGCATGTCCATCTAGCAATGCCACAGGGGCCCTAAATTCAATATCTACAAACTTGAAATGATCGTTCTCTCTTTCTCTTATATACACTATTTTTATGATACCATTAGCTCATCAAAAACACAAACAAAAAATCTCCTTTCTTCTTCCTCACCAACTACATCTAATGACACTAAACACCATCCATTCCATCCCTGAATTATCCTCCTTGAGATCCTCATTTCTAACTCTCCTGTGCCTGTTCTCATTTACAAAGTACATCATTATAGGTGAGAACAAAGGCTAAACATCATGCAATAAATTCAATAATAATCTTTCTGAGTCTCCACTTCAGTTAAGAGCTCTCTGAACTTTATATTCTGGGTATGTGAAGACTTACTTATTTTTTATACCACAGCACCACAGAAAACGCCTTCTCCAAACACATATATTATGCTCATGTAAATATTTTCACATATTGTAAACCTGAACACTATTTCTTCCTCCTCTGAAGACAGAGTTTATTGAAAGCCTTGTTTTTTACCCATTGTCACTAGAGGATTATTTCTGCAATGATAACTAGAAACAGTATTGTGAAAAGAATGGTTCTGCCATTCTTTTCACAATTAAATCCAAACTCCTTTAATAAAACATTTCTACAGTTAATCCCCAACTAAATTCCAGCATCAGCTCTCACCACTACCTCACTTATAATCTAAAATCTAGCTATATGGGCCCCTTGCATTTCGTTGAAAGTACAATTCACTTAATTTACATTGCTCCAAAAATTTTTTAAACAACTAACGTTCTTCAACAGACGATTGAGTAAACAAAATGTGATATATTTGCACAGTGAATTATAACTTAGAAACAAAAAGAAACTGTTTCACACAATGACATAGATGACCAAGAAGCTAGAAGAAATAATACACAAATTGTATGAATTTTGAGAATAATCACAATTTCTCTTATCTAATATGAGTAAGAAAAAAACATTGGATCTACTTAACGGTAAGAATCAGCAGGAGAGGGGCAAGAATTTTTGTAGAAACATCATAATATCCTATACCTTGATTGTTTTTAGGTGACATGGTTGTCTATTTACCAAGGCTGTTTACACTATATTTTCAGAATGTTCACTTGTGCATATCACTATGCATAAATTAAGTCTCAGTTTAGAAAAAAAAAGTTATAAAAAATGGCATAAGAGGTATAATAGAAAGAGCTGACATTTATTGAACATTTGTTCTGTACTAAAACCAATATCCCTTCTTGCAGAATCCTCCTTGATTGAGTCTATTTTGTTGGTATCTCATACGAAATTCTCAGGTGATGGTAGCGTAGCTATTGGTATACATAAGTAAAATATGTGGAAATATTTAGAAGATAAGGTTGTTATGCTATGAAGTTCTGGGTAGCCAAATATAAAACTCTTTCCTCACTCATATATATCCAAACTGGGATAATATAATTGTATAATACTGTGGGATCCTTTATAAGATCTGTTTTTATGGTGTTTTTTCCCCCCAAATTTATTTCTGGCTCTTCAACTTCTGATAGCCACTAAAAACTTGAGATGTATTTTATTTGCAACAGTGAAATGGGAAACTGACTAAAACCAGAGGGGTCAGGACAGTTAAACCAATTTTACTAGCTTTTATAAAAAGCTTAAAAGAATAACCTTCTGCAGCTGAGAATGCTTTTTTCTCTAGAAATGAAAAAGGCATCATAAAAAGACATTTACGGGGTTCATAAAATTCAAATGAATATATTATTACCAAGTTTCACAATATGAAAAGACAGATGATGAAAGGGAAAATGAAATACATGGAAGCAAATTGAAATTGATCATCAAAAATGCTAGAAATAAGAACCCTAAAAACTTTACCGGTAAACCAATTAGAATTATATTACAGCTCAAATGATTACTATAAAATCTGATACAATTTTGTATGAGATTTCATTTTTCTACTCTCCCAAGTAAAAGGCTTAGCCACATTTACTTAAAATTCTTGTCATTTATCAAGTGTCTGGCAACCTAAAATAAATCAGATTCTGAAATGCTTATAAAATATAGTTATTCAATAGGATTGTGGTTAATTCGACTAAATTATGTGCCTCTTAATAATTCCTTATCTAGTCATTGAAATGAACAAAAAGCAAGCATTTTTATCTATGGCGCTAATTATCAAAAGTCCTTCTGTTCTTACCTTTATTTTTTAATTACTTCAATTCTGTGAAATGGAAGCAGAACCCAAATAATGCTTCTATGGCTTTTCTGATGGAAAGTATGAAATGTTCAAAGAGACCACATCTATAAATAATACCCTCAAATTGGCTACCAACCACCAAAAAAAAAAAAAAAAATCCTTTCTCTTTCATGTGAGTACTTTCCTGTGGCTTCAGTGCTAAGTTAGAGGAACAATCATTTCTTTTAATTACATGACTATAATGTTATTCTACCCCTTACCACAGACAACCTGACATTTTTCTAAGTAACCCCAATAACAGTGCTATTTCTATAAACAATTTTCTTTGTGAAATTAAAGCTCATTCCATAAGAAAACAAAGATGAGTTTTTAAAAACATCAGTAGACATTAGTTTTAGAGTAATTTAGGTTTAGAGAAACATTGAAAGAAAGTAGATTTTACACTCACTCTTTTTTTCCCCTTTTTATTAACATCTTGCATTAGTGTGGTAAATTTCTTACAACTGTTGAACTAATATGATTCATTATTATTAAGTAAAGCCCATAGTTCGTGCTAGCTTCACTCTTCATATTGTATTGCTCCATGAATTTTAAAAAATGTAAAATCATGTAGTCATAATAGTATCAACCACAAGTTTCACTACCCAAAAAATCTGTGTTCTGCTAATTCATCATTTCTCCAAACCTCTGGTAATCACTAATCTTTTTACGGTCTCTATAGTTTTGACTTTTCAGTCATGCCATATAGTTAGAATCATAGCTACACTGTGTAGCTTTTTCAGACTAGTTTCTTTTACTTAGCAATAATCATTTAAGGGAACTTTATATGTTTCTGTGGCTTAGCAGCTTTTTTTCTTTATCACTGAAAGAAATTTCATTACATAGTTGTACTGCAATTTGTGTACATACCTACTGAAAAACATCTTGGTTTCATCTGTTAAGGCTCAGAAAACGCTTTGACTTACTGAGCACTTTGAATTAAAGGAGACCAAAAAGCCTTCTAAGCTGCCCTAAAATCATGGTCTCTCTAACAGTGCCCTCCCCCAAAAGTGCAAATGATTATTATAAAATCTGATACAATTTCATATGAGATTTCATTTTTCTATTTTCCCAAGTAAAAGAACTTAGCCACATTTACTTAAAAATCTTGTCATTTATCAAGTGTCTGGCAACCTAGAACAAATCAGACTCTGAAATAGTTATAAAATATCTGTAATAAAATAATTGTAAGGGCCTGTCATTTCCTCACCTGAAATGAAATTGGCTTAAAACCTCCTTCCTTATGAATCTCATCAAATGACCTGGAAAGATTAGCCACCAGAGAAGAAAAGAGACTAAAAGTCATGACCATGCCCAGCTAGACTTTCATCTATTTTTCTGTGGGAAATTCCAAAAAATTTCCTGAGAGACTTAACTGAGTAGCAAGACAGTTTTAGTTCAAAGTGCAGCTCCAGCTCACCGTCCCTCACTTTACCCCAGAGCCCAGAGAGACTTTGTCGCAGGCTACTCTGTCTGTTCTCCAGGTTCATTTATATTCCCTAAAACTCACTTACTATTCTTCTACAAAGGCCTAAATTCACCACTGCATTCTCCCCTGTGAAAAGGGTATTTAAGCATCAACAATCTGCCCTTTTTTTGGACTTTCATGTTTTATCTGATTCCTGTACACATGTGCATGTTAAAAAATTTATATATATATATATATATATATATATATATTTTTTTTTTTTTTTTCTGACAGTCTGTCTAATGCTAGTTTATTCAAGTGAACTTAGAGACTGAAACCTTCCAGGGCCAGTGGCAAGCAGCAGTGGGGAGATTCCCTTTGCCCCTACATTTTTATGTCTTGGCAATATTCAATAAAGCTGCTATAAACATTTACTTGAAATTTTTGTATAGACCTAAGTTTTCAACTCATTTGATAAAAAATACCAAAGAGGCCAGTTGCTGCATCATCTGGTAAGACTCTGGATTTGTAAGAAATTTCCAAAATGTCTTCCAAACAGGCTGTACATTGTATATTCCCCCCGAAATTGAATGAGAGCTCATGTCCTCCACATTCCAACCAGCACTTAGTGTAATTAGTCTTCTGGCTTCTTGCCATTGCAATAGGAAAATGGTGTCCCATTTTTGTTTTAATTTGCAACGGTTTAATGACATGTGATGCTGAGAATTTTACATCTACTTATTTGTACCAGACCTAGATGTGTAAGATGCTAAATTTTACCAAATATTTAAGGATGAAATGATACTAATTATCTTATGTTTCAGAACATAAAAGCAGAACACCTATTCCCTATCTTTGAGGCTAGCATTACTCTTATCCAAAAACCAGACAAGTAGATCACACAAAAAAATTAAAACTGAAGACCACTATCTCTCATGAACATAAATGCAAAAATCCCCAAGAATGGTATCAAATTCAATCGAATCATGTATAGAAATACTTATATACCCCACCAGGTGGAATTTATTCCAGATATGAAAGTCTGGTTCAACATTTGAAAATCAATTAATGAAATCTATCACATCAATAGGTTTTTATAAATCATATAATCATATCAATAGAAACAGAAAAAGCATTTGACAATATTCCACACCTACTCATGATGCAAATTCTCATAGCAAACTCAGCTATGTTCAATGGTGAGTCCATCAAAGACATCCTTCATCTCTGATGTAGTGCTTTTTATTTCTGCCATTTTCTTTTTATTCTTTCTTGAAGCTGTATCTTTGTCCTATATCACCCACCAATCCTTGCATGTTATCTACTATTCCAATTAATGCCCTTAGAACAACATAGTTCTTTTAAATTCCAAGTCAGATAATTCCAAAATATCCACCACATCTGTGTCTGAATCTGGCGTTTATTTTGTCTCTTCAGATGAAATATTTTGCCTTTTAGCATCACTTTGCCATTTATTGTAGAAATATAGACATGATATTTCAGGTAAAAAAAAAAAAGAAGAAGAAGAACTGCTGTAAATAACAGCTCATAGAGACAGTTTTGTGTTTGTCTGGCAGGGAGTAAGGCTGTGTGTACTGTTTTCTGTAACATTTTTGTCCATATAATGCCCTTCTTTTTGACCCCTCTGCTGTTATTGGGTTTCTGTAGAAACTGCTCCTTACCCCTTAAATAGATTCTTGAGTTTCACAGTTGTTCAGCTATAATCCCTTGATATTTCTGCATGTATCACGCTGATGCAGTGATAATGGGGTAGAATAGAAGCATTCTAGGATCCACAGTCTTTACAGAGCATTTGCTCCTGGATTGTGTTACAAGTGTTTCTCACCTTTTATTCCCCACCTATATGAGACAGGAAGACTTGGGTGGGATGAGGGATTACTATTTCTCTTCCTCCAAGTCACTTGAGGGATGGAAAAATCCCAAACTGCTAGAGTCTAGTAAAATTGTTTCACTGGAGGACAGACATTGTAAGTAGAGCAGAGTGCTCTGGGCTTATTGAGACCACTTATTTTTGCTCTCCCATGGCCAGGAAGCGCAACGTGATTTTTCTTTGATCTTCATTTTGAGAACCTAATGAGGCTTCGGGAGGTAATTATGCCCCCCACCAAAGATGACCGTCCAGACTCCCAGCAGTTTTTACCTTTCAAGTTAGTCCATGCTTAGCAATTAGTCAATTATCCTTTAAGAGTTTCTAGGCCTTGGTGGCTTCTGTAGCCCATAAGCAGTGATTCTCTGTGTTTGCTTGTCTCTCCTGCTTTGAGGGCAGCAGATTGCCCTGGGACCTCAATTCTCTGATGAATCTTAGAAGAGGTATTAATTTCGTCTTTTTTCAACTTACCTGGTGAGGAATTATATCTCTTGCCTAGACATCTATCTAGTTTCCTACCTTGATAACTCAAACAGAACATGCTCCAAACTGACCTCTGGATATTCCTCCTCAAAAGCTGCTCTACCCACAGTTTTCTCCATTTAAATTGATGGACACTCCCTTCTTCCCATTGTCCCTGGTGGGATGGAAACATTGAAGCTTTCTTTTAAGTTTTTTCTTCCTTTCAAATATATAGAATCAATCATAAAACCTGTTTAACTATTTTAAAAAAATAAAACCCAACTCTAACAACTTCTTATCACCTTTGCTGCCGCTGCCCTGATGTGAGTGGCCAGAGTCTTCTGGTCTGCATTACTTCAGTAGCCTCTTACCTGGTATAGCTGACTCCATCTCTGCCAGCCTGCCCCACCACCACCAAACTCCCATAGGGACTATTCTGAGTACAGTCGCCAGGTTCACAAATGAAATATTTGATGTGGTAAAGATAATGATGGTTTGCATTTCTTCTATTGATTTAATACTAGTCAAAATTTCAAAGGGTTTGCTTATAAAAAAAAGTATCCAATAATTCATAAAAATCTTAAAGTTCCACGTATAGCCAAGGCAATCTTGAAGAAGAGGAAATGTAAAAGAAAAAGGGAGGTGAAGTGGAAGAGTAGAAGGAGGAAGCAAAGGAAGAGAAGGAGGAGAAGGAGGAAGAAGAATAGAAGGAAGTCGGGAAGGGAGAGAAGATTATAGATTATAGAGAAGAATATATAGAGAGAGAAGAAGGCAACTATTATAGAGAAGAAAGGGGAAAGGAAGAAAACTGAAAGGAAAGAAGTAGAGAGCGAGGGAAAAGCTTGCTTTAATAGATATCTAAATTTATCCTTCGAGTTTGGAAGATAAAGCAGTGTGCTCTGGGTGCAAGTGCAGACTAAAAGACTACAGGAAAGAGATCTACTTTGCTGGAGGTATGTGTTCACATCCCAAGGGAGGAATGACACCCACAAGATAGACACAAAAGACCTCTCTAAATAGCTTGCTGTATCTAGAAATTCATCAGTTGGGAAAAGATGGACTTTTAGTAAACTGGAATGGTACAATGGGTTATCCACATGAAAAAATAAAATAAAATTAGTTTACTACTTCATACTGGACACAAAAGTATATAGCCAGGTGCGATGGTGCATTCTTATAATCCCGACACTTTGGGAGACTGAGGCTCAAGAATCACAAGTTCCTCAGCCTCAGCAACTTATCAAGACCCAGTAGATGGGGTAGAGAGAGAAG